TATAAAACTAAATAAATCTCTTAAATAGGACATGCTCCCTGTTGGTGGAGGCTTGTGTCAAAGGCCTGTAAGAATTCAGAAAACAGTCTGTTTTTTAACTTTTTCAGTATGTCTTGTGAGGACTGTGTCAGCAGGAGGCTGGTGGTGTGCTGTTGTGGAGTAATCCCTCAGCATTTCAGTTGGTGCTTCAGCCAGAGCACTGAGGAGCACTGACACAGTGTTTTACAATGCACAGGAGCTTTTACCATTGAGGTTTTCTTTTATTTCAGTATCTTTTGTTTGTTTTCTTTGGTGTTATGGGCAGTTTTCCCTCCACCCTGGTCCCACAGCCGCATCAGCCCCAAGTAACACACAGAGATGAAGTATTAGATAAAAAGCCATAGGCTTTATTCATTAACCAGTAAGAGAAACATATATACAGAATAACATATCCCCTCAGTTTGGGTGCCAGGTTCTCACTATAATGCTGGCTGGCTTCAAACTCACAAAAATCCACCGGCCTGGGCCTCAGGGTTGCTGGGATTACAGACATGCACCACCATGCTGAAACAGTTGGGGTTGTCATAGGGACTTCTTTGCACACCTTTGCTCTCTCTCCCAAGAGGTGCTAACAGGGATCGGGCTTTCTTGGAGAAATGACTGATTTCATGGTTGGCATAGTACAAGAACCCTGAGTCAGGAGCTCCCAAAGATAATGAATTGTGGCAGGAAGTCATAGAACCTGCGTGATGGGGCTTCTCCTGGACCACGAGGACAATTTGGACATTGGAGTACAGCACAGAAAAGGCAAGACTGTCACTCAGTAGTAGACAATTTTCCTGGCACACCCAAGGTTGAGTATGTGGCTCAGGAATAGAGTGCTTGCCTGATACAGGCCAGGTCTTAGGCTCATTCCCAGCATGGGGGAAAAGAAGTAATAGAAACTGATTGTGACCTGATGAATACAGTGGAATCCACAGAGACCACACTGATGTCAATAATGAATCATTAGACCATGCTGGAGAACCAGCCAATGGGTGTGGGAAGGAATGATAGGCTTGGGAAAATCACCAGTTGTCAGCCAGCGATGCGGTAACAGCCATTAGTGAGTGGTACCTTGAGGGTGTTGGAGTTGGAGAAGCAGAGGTCTGGAGTTAAAGCTCAGGTGGCACTGTGCTAGCTTCCAGGCATGGGGGCACATGTCTGCCACCCCAGCACTGGGGAAGTGGAGGCGGGAACGTCAGAAATTCAAGGTCACCCTCGGCCACATAGCTAGTTTGAGTCCAGTCTGAGTTAAGTGGAACTCTCAAGAAGCACTCCCCAAAAGTTGGATGAGAAGCACCATATTTATGTAGCCTCAGAACCCATCCCCACATGGCACTTTTTCATGATAGAAGATGGAATTCTAACTGGTGGGCCACCTTCGCCAAGTGGCCAAAGTCACCATCGACAGCAGAGGGACAGATGATAGCATGTGCCTCTAGGAAGTCAGCTCTCACCCTCTGGGGCTCCTGACAAGAGTCCCTGGGCAGAAACTCACCACGAGTGATCCCCAGGCAGGGACTGAAGGGCCCTGAAGGATGCTGGGAGTGACCTAAAGCTCATCTTCACTGTAAAGGGTGTTGCTGGGGTAGCACAGCACAGCAAGGCTTATGGATTAGCTGGCGTTCATTCCTAATCATGTATACTAAATATTATATGTAGTATATGTAATAGTTCTATAAGGTAGCTCTTTGGACTGAGGGGAGGTGCGAACACAAGAAAGGAGGCAGGGAAGATGTCCATGAAGGGCTCAGTTCTCATAGCCCTGTCTTCCAGTTATAGGAAGATGGCTGCCCCATCAGCCCACACCTGCTTCTTTCCATGGAGAAGCAGCTCAACACCCCACTGCCCTGACTGTGGGAACCAGGCCTTCCTTGAGCTATCCCCTCTTCTCCCTGCTTGCAGAAAGGCTCAGGAGTCCAGGGCTATCCTGGCCCAACCCTCACCAACGAGAGTGGTACCCTCACCTGCCTGCCGTGAAGGGGAGTCCCTGAACCCTGCAGACCTCCATCTCCCATCAGCTTCTTCATTTCCTCGCCGTGACTTGACTAGCATCCACCACACCTCTCTAAGCCCATGAACTATTTCTTGGTCTCGGGAAAAGGACACAGGTCCTGGACCCCGAGAGACTGCTGTATGGAGCACTGTCCCGGTATAGTGATGTCATGAGTAGATTCCTTCCAGACTTTCAGGACAGTGTTGATTTCTGTGAACAAGGTTCTTCAGCAACCTCACCTGTGCATTATTTGTTCAGTGTTTGTTCAGTGATTTCTGCAGCTCCCACCATGCCCGGGGCTTTGCTAGGCACAGGGACAGCCCACCATGCCCAGGGCCTTGCTAGGCACAGGGGCAGCCCACCATGCCCAGCCAGGCACAGGGACAGTTAGATGCAGCTTACTGCCAGGCAGCAAGGCACACAGTGTAGGTGGTTTTTATAAAGTCAGCTCCCCTTGTGAGTAGAAAGGGGTAGAGTCTGGGAATGGATGGTTCCTTTGGTAAAGCATTTGCCATGGAAGCACTAAGATCTGAGTTCAGTTCCCAGCCCTCCCATAAAGCTGCCTGGTGAGGCAGCATGTATTTGTTTTGTTTTGTTTTCCTTTTTTATTTATATTTGAAACAAGGTTGTTTTACATGGCAATCCCAGTTCCCTCGCCCTCCCATCCTCCCCTATCACCCCCACCAAACCCCAGTGCATCCCCTTCCCCATGCCTTCCATGGGGAGTCTTCAAAGTCTGTCATATCATTTGGGGCAGGGCCAAGGCCTTTCCCCATGTGTCTAGGCTGAGGGAGTATATCCCTCTATGTGGAATGGGCTCCCAAAGTCCATTCCTGTACTAGAGATAAATACTGATCCACTACCAGAGGCCCAATAGAATGCCCAGTCCTCCTGACACCCACGTTCAGGGGGTCTGGGTCGGTCCTATGCTGGTTTCCCAGCTATCAGACCGGAGTCCATGAGCTCCCCCTTGTTCAGGTCAGCTGATTCTGTGGGTTTCTCTAGCCTGGTCTTGGCCCCTTTGCTCATCACTCCTCCCTCTCTGTGACTGGATTCCAGGAGTTCTGCTCAGTGTTTAGCTCTGGGTGTCTGCTTCTGCTTCCATCAACTACTGGATAAAGGCCCTAGGATGGCATATAAGGTAGTAATCAATCTCATTATTGTGGAAGGGCATTAAAGGTAGCCTCTCACTATTGCTGAGATTGTTAGTTGGGTTCATCCTTGTAGAACTCTAGACATTTCCCTAGATCCAGATTTCTCTTTAAACCTATAATGGCTCCTTCTATTATGGTATCTCTTTTCTTGCTCTCCTCTATTCCCTTTATTCAATCTTCCTGCTTCCTCGTGTCTTCCTCTCCCCTCCTCTTCTCCCCTTCTCTTTCTCCTAACTCTCTCTCCCCTCCTTCCGTGCTCCCAATTTGCACAGGAGATCTTGTCCCTTTCCCCTTCTCCAGGGGACCATGTATGTCTCTCATAGGGTCCTCCTTGTTTCCTAGCTTCTCTAGCTGTATGAATTTTAGGTTGGTGATCCTTTGCTCTATGTCTAAAATCCTATCTGAGTGTCTTTTTGTGAATGGGTTACCTCACTCAGGATGGTTTCTTCTAGTTCCACCCTGCGAATTTCAGGATTCCATTGCATTTTTCCACTGAATAGTACTCAGTTGTGTAAATGTAACACATTTACTCCATCCATTCTTCAGTTGAAGGGCATCTAGCTTGCTTCCAGGTTCTGGCTATTACAAATAATGCTGCTATGAACATAGTTGAATGAATGTGTTGTATGAATGTGCATCTTTTGGGTATATACCTAAGAGTGAAATTGCTGGATTTTGAGGTAGACTAATTCCCATTTTCCTGAGGAACCGCCAAAATGGCTGTAAAAGTTTGCACTCCCACCAGCAGTGGAGGAGTGTTCCCCTTTCTCCACATCCTCTCCAGCATAAACAGTCTTTGGTGTTTTTGATTTTAGCCATTCTGACAGGAATAAGATGGTATCTCAGAGTTGTTTTGATTTGCATTTCCCTGATGGCTAAGGATGTTGAGCACTTTCTTAAGTGTCTTTCAGCCATTTTAGATTCCTCCATTGAGACTTCTCTATTTAGTTCTGTACCCCACTTTTTAATTGGATTAGTTGATGTTTTGATGACTGACTTCTTGAGTTCTTTGTATATTTTGGAGATCAGCTCTCTGTCAGATGTGGGGTTGGTGCATATCTTTTCCCATTCTGTGGGCTGCTGTTTTGTCTTGTTGACTGAGTCGTTTGCCTTACAAAAGCTTCTCATCTTCAAGAGGTCCCATTCATTAGTTGTCGATCTCAGTGTCTGTGCTACTGGTGTTATGTTCAGGAAGCAGTCTCCTGTACCAATTTGTTCAAGGGTCCCTCACATTTTCTCTTCTAAGAGGTTCGGTGTAGGGCAGCATTTGTAACTCCAGTGCTAGGGAGGCAGAGGCCAGCCCACCTAGCCTAATTGGTGACTTCCAGGCCAAGTGATGACCCTGTTTCAAAGAAGTGGGTATTATTCCTGAGGATGACACCTGAGTTGTCTTCTGGAACACACACACACACACACACACACACACTGACTGACTGACTGAAAGGTAAAATCCTCAAGTTCCAGCCTGGCTCCCAGCAAGTTATTTGGGCTTGTATTATCCAAAGAATCTGTGTGAGCCTTGATGTGCACCTGTGACACAGAGACAGGAGCCTCTCTCTGCTGTCAGCTCTGTCCATCTCTTGGGGTCAAGAGAAAAGGCTACATGGTGCTCTAGAAATATGAAGTAGCCTTGTTAGCCTTGCCAAAGAAACACCCTGAGACATAATCACAAAAGAGAGTCCCGTGCTGCCTCTACCCTCTAGCCTTAGAAGAAAGCTTTGCAACTAAAAAGAGGACTCCAGGGAGCCAAAGGCGTCCTGGAACAGCTGGGGCTCACAGCCAGGCCCCGGGGAACAAACGGAACTGATTGTGGCGCTTTGTCCTTGCAGTGCACCAGGTGGCTGAGCGGGTGGAAGCCCTGGGCCAGTTTGTCATGAAGACCAGGAGGACCCTCAAAGGCCACGGAAACAAAGTCCTGTGCATGGACTGGTGCAAAGACAAGCGGAGGATCGTGAGCTCCTCACAGGTACTGCCTGAGGCTAGTGCATCGCACTTGGTGTGAGGCTGAGTATTCCATCCACGCGGCTCAGAGAGAAGGAGCCTTCCTGTCCGCGGCCCCGCCCATCTCTTTATGACTTTGCTTACTCTCAGGGCTTCTCCTCTTTATGACTTTGCTTACTCTCTGGGCTGTGAGTTAATCCGCCCGCAGCGCTGAAGTTGTCTGTCAGGGTTAGAGCCCTCGTCTGGCATTCACTGTGCCTTGGGGTTGGTCAGCAGATGCTCTGGCACTCTGGAGAATGTCACGGACTTGAATTAGTGATGGAAGAAACACTCTAGACTGTACCTGACCCCTTTGATGAAGCATTCAAGATTGTTTCTCCCTAAGCATATCGCAAGGTCTCATTTGTGGGTGAAGCCGTTTTTTAAAAGTCTTTCCCCACTTCAAGGGGGCCATAAATGACTGAGATCCTACTAATGGCTTTTTTTTTTTTTTTTAATATAAGTGTGTTGTTTATGGTTTAGGTTTTTTTTTTTTTTTTTTTTCAGGCTGTCACTGTGTAGTTCTGGCTGGCCTGGAAGTTGCTATATAGACCAGGCTTGTCTTGAACTCAGATCCACCTGCCTCTGCCTCTGCCTCTGCCTCCTGAGTACTGGGATTAGAGGTGTGCGCCACCACAGCCAGTAGTTTATTAATTCTTATTGTGTTAATAAGAAGAAATTTAACATAACTATTTGGAATCTATACTTCTTTGTAGCGTTTATGCAGTTTACTTCTATATCTTAAGTGTTCCCTGTTACATAACACATCACCCCAAACTGAGGTAGAAGATCTAGCTCTGAGGTCCAGCACTTGCCCGACAAGCAAAAAGCCCCGGGTTCCATCCCTAGCACTGAAGTAAATTACTCCCAAATGAAGCAGCCTAGCGTGAGGACATAATGGAGATTCTTACTCCATTATGAGGTTGCTGAAGACATAGGCGTGGCTACAGTTGGCTGACTGTGTGACATCTCTCAGGATGCCTTGCTCATACTACTCCTGGGTGTCTTTGTTTCTTGTCATGTGAACCTTTCCGTAGTTTCTGCTCACAGCTTGGTAGCTGACCTCCCTTATAGCAGGTTTCCCAAGAGACAGGAAGAGCAGCAGAGCAGAATTCTTCTGTGACCTAGCCTTGGAACCAGCATTCTGTTTATCTGTTACATTGTGTTGAGCACTAGACCGTCCCTGATTAAATAAGGAGGGAAACTAACTCTCTTTGTTTAATAATTTTATGGCTATTTCTAGGTTAGATATTGTCTTAGTTAGGTTTCTATTGCTGTGATAAAATCCCAGGACCAGAAGCAACTTGGGGAGGAAAGGGTATTTCAGCTTATGTGTTCCCATCACTGCCTACCATGAAGGAAATGCAAGGCAGGAGCTCAGGACTCAAACCTGGAGGCAGGAACTGAGGCAGGCCATGAAGGATCACTGTTTACTGGCTTGCTCCTAGACCCAGGCCGGCTCCACATCAGAGCTGTTGTCCTTGGTGGTTGTCTCATGGTTCTGGCATCTCCAAAACATTGATTTTTTTTTTTCCATTACAACTAGGCTGCACCTTCACTAGTGGCCTCTTCTGGGCCCTCTTCGGGGCCTATAAAATAATACGGCCACATGGTGGCATGCCTTAACTTCTCTTTTTGACTCTTCAGTCCTGGGCCTTCCATTGCAACCAAGGCTGGACTCTTCCAGCGGCCTCTCCTTCAGGGATCCCAGCCTTGCCACATAGTGCCAGGCCTCAGCTGTTCTCCATGACCCCTTCATGCCTTCAGAACCAGTGCTGCCTGAGTGACTCTTACCCATGACTGAGTTCAGCTGCCAGCATGAGGTACAACCTTTGCTGCCTCAGGACCACAGCCTCCACGTGCTGACCCTGAGGAAATGCTTCGGGGAATGTCTCTTATTAATGGCCACCAGGCATGGTAGCATGTTCCTGCGATACCAATAGTTGAGAGGTAGAGGCAGGAGGATCAGGAGTTCAAGGTTATTCTTGGTTACCTATGAACTTGTCTCAAACAAACAGAAACCTATGAACTGATATATTCTGTACATCAGACTCAGGATCAATAAGGGTTTTCCCACACATCTGTCTCTGGTTCATCTCTTTCAAACAAGGGTCCGTCTTTTCTTAGTAACCTTTATAAGTATGAAACTGTCCGTGTTCTGGGGTGGAGCGATTTCTATTGCTTTTGCAGAGGACCCGGGTTCAGTTCCCATCATCCACTTCAGGTAGCTCTATAAAACCAGCTCCAGGGGATGTAGTGACCTACTTCAGCCTCTATGGAGGCTCACTACGCTCACATGCATACACACACACACACACACACACACACACACACACACACGTAAAAAATAAAAAGAATCTTTGAAAAGAAAATGTATATGCTCTGATAACCTGCCTGCTGTAGGGTCTCTGGATTGGACAAGTATTATTCATTTGCTCTGTAACCTGTAGATCTAGCAGAATACATTGTACTTGCTTTTTATTTTATATCCATAATAAATTTATCACCCATGCATATTAAAAACACCAGAGAGAAGAGCTGAGTTTTGACATCCCTGTTTCAACCATTATCATAATTAAATTTTATTTATTGTTTAGTTTTTTTTTTTCATAGGCAAGGTCTTGCTTTGTAGGCTAAACTGCCCTCATATGTGCCATCCCCCTGCCTCAGCCTCTCAAGTGCTGAGATTGCAGCTACATGTTGCCCAACTTACCATTTCCCTGTGTTTCTGTCTAGTCTTTACTGACATAAAGTGGTTGCTGCTTAGTTATTTGATTTTTAAATCTTTGCAAGCATACCAAGTGTGGGGGATTTCCTGTCACTCACATACCTCCTTTTCAGAGTCTCCTGCTTCCCAGGCTGGCCTCAAAATCACTGTGTTACCTTGGATAACCTTGAACCCTCCTGCCTCCACCCCCCAAATGCTAGAATTACAGGTGTGCACCCCACACCCAGGCTGTGAAGTGCTGAGAATTGAACCTGGGGTTTCCTGCACACCAGGCAAGAACTCTAGTGACTCAGCTACACCCCCGGCCCCTTGTGTGCCACTCATACTGGAGAAGGAAAGGGAGGCAAGGCCACATGGTCACTTCTGAGTATACTCCAGCAGCCCCCTCTGCTCATGAGAGGTAGGGGCAGTGTGGCATGTTGCATGGAGGCTGGAAACACTCAAGATTCTGGGACAATCTATGGGTTACCAGTAACCTTCTCCCATTAACAAAGGGGATTCATCACCCTGATGCGTGGGGATAGGGTTTGGGGGTGGAGGTAAATTCTTCACAGGTATGTGGGTGCCTGGCAAGTACATCAGCTTGTGGGAGACACTTCAGATTGCACAGTGGAGAAGCCGTAGGAAATGGCAGGCAGCGAGGCAGAGGAAGCCACTGAATTGAGTCAGTGTCCCTGTCTACAGTGTGGGCTCTGGGTGCAGAGGACCCGAGTGTGCAGACTCAGAGTGTCTGATGTATTATAAATGGCTGGCTTTCCTAAACCATCCTGTGCATTCTGTTTGTCCATTTAGGCAGAAGTTAGAGCCCAGGGATCTTAAAGGTCTCAATCTATGCACTTTGACCTCAGCCACTCTTACCATTACCCTGACTTTGCCCACCAGGTGTGGAAGAGAAAGGCACTGTCACTTTACCATCAGACCTTGCTTCTGCCCTAAGGTTGTTTCCCAGTCCATCCCCCAGCCTCCTCTACCACCTTTACTTCCAAATGGCTTGAGGGGTTAAAGGTTAGAACCAGGGGATGCATGTGTTTAAGCCCAGCACTCAGAAAGCCAGCAGATCCGAAGTTCAAAGTCATCCCCAGCTACAGGTCAAGGTCTAAGCAACCCAGGCCAGGTGAGACCCTGTCCAACAGGGAAAAAAAAAAAAAGTGTCAAGTGGAGAACTAAGCTGGGAAACCCCCCTTATTCACATGGAAGTGGGAGGGTCTTTGATCATCCTGAATTCCATCAGGACACAGTGCCCTGAGGACTTCTGGGCCATTACAGGTAAGAACATATTGGCAGTTGCCCACTCCTGAACTGTTGTCTCTTCTCTCTCCAGGATGGGAAGGTGATTGTGTGGGATTCCTTCACGACTAACAAGGTGAGGTGTCCCTCCCACCACATCGTGAGCCTCAGGTTCCCAGGCTGCCCTCTAGGACCCCTGTTGCCATGGATACAACAACTCTGCCAGCACCCACACACACCCCCTAGAGGGCCACGACCCCAGACCAGATAGGGTACAGGGAGAGACACCTTGTTAAACTGCCACACTCAGTCGTGTTTTGTAATTTTCTTCTGAGTGATCATGAAAAGAATCAAAATCCTGTGTCTTTCCCCTCTCTACCTCTGGCCCATAGCACTGTAGAATTGAGCACATGACGTCGAGGAAGGAGACTGCAGCGGGATCAGACAGACACACTGTGATGTGGGGCAGGCAGTCTGAGTCCAAGGTGGAAGTGTTCTTGGCACGCACACCTCAGTTAGACCTAAGGTTAGACTGTTTCCATAAGATAAAGACCAAAATTAAATGCAGGTACAGGTGTAGCAGGGCCCACCAGCATCCATACAGGACAGAGCCGTATGCTAAGTGTGAGTGTCAGCATCTGTCTGGGAGGAAAGGCTTGTTTCTCACTGTGGAAAGGGAACCCCAGTGCACGGTCTACTTTATTAAATGAGGGCCATTTTCCAGGGCAGAATCACTAATGGTCAGGCCCCGGCAAATGGTTAAAACAATAAGGAAGCAAACTGTTGCTGTTTCTTACTAGCTGAGATTTGGTTTGTACTGGAAGGCTGAGCCCCCTCGTCAGTGTGAAGCCCACTTTCATCCCTTGTCACTGCCAAGTAAATGGTGACAGACCAGTGGGGACCCCGGTGTTTGTGTTTTGTAAAAGCTCAGATGTTGAGACCTGTGTGGAAGTGCACGTCATTCACTCCTGATTGGTGCTAATATTTCAGGAGCACGCTGTCACCATGCCCTGCACGTGGGTGATGGCATGCGCTTATGCTCCATCGGGATGCGCCATCGCTTGTGGGTAAGTTTTCCAAATGTCCCATTAGCCACAAAATACTGTTTTGTTTTGTATAGGCAAATATTACAAAATCTAAGCAGCCCGAAACAGTTCTGATACAGGCCTGTACTTATTTTTGTGTTTTTTTGCTTTTGAGACAGGGTTTCTCTCTGTAGCCCTGGCTGTCCTGGAACTCACTCTGTAGAGCAAGCTGACCTTGAACTCAGAGATCCCTGTACTTTCTAACCATGAAAAACAATTAAGTGGCCCTTAGAAACAGCTGGCTGAGAGCTGTCCTGAACACTGAAGAACAGTCAGAGGTCCAGGGAGATAGTTCAGTGGGTAAATGGATGTGAGGACCTGAGTTCAGACCCCATCACCCACATGAAAAGCTGGAGAGAGGCCCACAATATGGCTCCAGGAGTACATGAATGTGCTTGCCATGCAAGCTGATGACCTGAGTCCAACCCCGTGATCCCCTGTGCAAGGAGAGAGTTAACTCTTGAAAGTTGACATCTGATTCCACATGTGTTCTGTGGTGCATCACAGACACACACACACACACACACACACACACACACACACACACAAATAACACTTTTTCAATTAAAACCTTTAAATTTACTTATTATTTTGTGCGTATGGTGTTTGCCTGCATGTATGTGTGTGCACCATGTGCATGCTCAGTGTCCACACAGATCAGAAGATGCTCTGGGTCTGAAGTTTCAGGTGATTGTGAGCCAATGTGTAGGTGCTGAGAAATAAACCCAGGTCCTCTGCAAAAGCAACAAGTGCTTCTTTAAAACAAAACAAAAAAATCATTTTTCTAACAGTTTTGTTGATATTTTGCATTTGCTACTTTTTGTTTGTTTAATTTTAAGTATTTGTACAGTTTATGTATCACATGCATACCTGGTGCCCTCAGAGGCCAGAAGAGAGCCAACAACTAGGGTTACAGATGGTTATGAGCTGTCACGTGGGTGCTGGGATTGAACCCAGCTCCTCTGTAAGATCAGCCAAGCTCTTAACCACTGAGCCATCTCTCCAACCATTAGGTCCTTAGCTCCTTTGCTCCTTATGAGCTGATAGGGAACCCTTGCTAATCTCTCAGCTGTGGTAAACATGCAGCAGGTACATAAAGAATGACCTCATTTGGGGGAGGTATAAATATGCACCTTCATCTATGAAGAAGTGAAATACCATGTTTGCATTAGATGGTTCTGCATTTGCTCCCACACACTTGTGTGTGAATCCAAGGGAAGGAATATCCAGTTTCATATTTGTGGGGTTTGTTTTTTTTTTCAGTTTTGACTGTAGATTAGAAGGTCTTGCTGGGTGGTGGTGGCACATGCCTTTAATCCCAGCACTCAGGAGGCAGAGGCAAGTGGATCTCTGTGAGTTCAAAGCTGACCTGGTCTACAAAGTGAGTTCCAGGACCACCAGAGCTAAACAGTGAAACCCTGTCTTGCAAAACAAACACAAAGGTCTTCATAGTCAAAAGGGAGAGGTTTTGATGTAAGACCCTGCTGATGAAAAGCATTTGCAAAGTCAGTATAAATGATGCCTTTCATTCTTCCATGTCAACCTTTGGCTCCTCTGTCTTCTGGGCTAGGGGTCTGGATAATAAGTGTTCCGTGTATCCACTGACGTTTGACAAAAATGAGAACATGGCTGCTAAGAAGAAGTCTGTGGCCATGCACACCAACTACCTGTCAGCCTGCAGCTTCACCAACTCGGACATGCAGGTAAGTGCTCACATGGCCCTGGGGCATGTCCCTTGCAGAGCACATCCGGGAACTGCAGGGTAAGGCATGCCCTGTGTGGTGCAGGCTCCAGAGGTCGTTTCTCCTTGGTCATTGTACCTAATGAAGTCAGAAAGGAGAACCAGGAGTACTGAGGTAGAGTTAAACTCTGGGTGTTTGGTTGGGTGGAGGGCAGAGGGCAGCCTCTAAAGCAGGTGACATAACACTTCACAGCTAGAGAGTGTCATGGCTGTGAACTGCTTGCATCTCTCTGTCTATGTTTTATACCCTTTAATTTTTAAATTTCTCTTTAGGTTTATTAATTTTATGGTATTAAGTGCTTGCCAGCACATGCATACATGCAATTCCCACAGAGGCCAGAAGAGGGCATCAGATTCCCTGAAATTGTAGATGGTTCTAAGCCATGTGGGTGCAGGAAACCAAATCCTGGATCTCTGCAAGAGCAGCCAATGCTCTTAATCTCTGAGCCATCTCTCATCCCTTATATTCTAATCTTAAAAATAAAAATTGGGGCTGGAGAGATGACTCGTAACAAGCTAGGCATCCCAAAGGGTGCCTATAACTCCAGCTGTAAGAAATCTGACTTATTGTGACTTCAGCACTCAAACACACACACACACACACACACACACACACACACACACACACACAAATAAAAATTCTTTTAATAATAATAAAAAGGACAAAATGTTATGGGCATTAAGTCTGTGCCCTGCTTCACTTAAACCACAGCAAGGGCAGTGCAGCCCTTACGCTCATTTCTTTAGCGCTCCCGTAGTTAATTCAGTCATACAGACCTGCGAGGCAGGTAGAAACCTGGTTTAGGACCTGATGGTGCTGGACTGGAAGCCCAGATGAGGGTCTGCAAGTGAGGCTTAGTGAAGAGGCTGTTAACCTTGGTAAATACATTGTATGGCTGGCCCAGTCTCTTCTTCCAGGAACAGTGTTTCCGGGGGCAAGCAGCTAGTGTGTGTGTGTGTGTGTGTGTGTGTGTGTGTGTGGGCGGGGGTGTGAATATGGAGGGTGTATGGGTGGGTGTACTCGATCGAAGGTTAAACCTTTCGCTAACCTTCCCCGATACTGTCTGTCTTCACATAGATCCTGACAGCCAGCGGTGATGGAACATGTGCCCTGTGGGATGTAGAGAGTGGGCAGCTACTACAGAGCTTCCATGGGCATGGGGCTGACGTCCTCTGCTTGGACCTGGCCCCCTCAGAAACTGGAAACACCTTCGTGTCTGGGGTAAGGACAAGGAACATCTCTAGGGAGGTAACGCTGGCAACTCTGTGTGTGTGTGTGTGTGTGTGTGTGTGTGTGTGTGTGTGTGTGTGTATGTGTGTGTGTGTGTCCTCGGGTCTGGTCCTGTCTCTTTCCCAGAAGTGTCTTCAACTCCCTGCGGCTGGAAACCACAGTTCCTGCAGCAGTGTCCGCTGTCTCCAGGCTTCCTTCTGTCACTGACACTCAGAAGTCTCTATAGAGACCTGGAATGTTCTTTTGAGTGCTGCAGCCTGGGGTGTGTGCCTGTCACAGTGTGTCTGAGATCTTAGCTCAATCAGAGGCTTCTGGGCAAGTGCAATGCGTGCTAAGATGAGCCAGTGCTGGGATATCACAGGGCTGGGGGTGGGGCGGGGCACTCCCATTCCACATCTCTTGGCCACCATCCACCTCTCACCCTTGCGTGCAGGACTCAGAGGAGGAACTATAGGAGTCAGCAAACATGAACCTTAGTTGATTTCATCTAGAAGCTCAGCATAATTCACAACAGCACTCCCTGCTGTTGTGCTCTGCCCGGTTTCCTCAACCTCCAAGGAAGTGACTCCCGACGGCAAAAGCAAAAGGTTTTTATTGCTAAGAACCGAACCAGCTGGGACCTCACTCTATCAGAAGAGTAAGGTGCCCGCTTACAATTGCAAAGTGTTTTTAAAGGGAAAGGGAGGTTTGAGACTGCTAGTCTCAGCCCAGAAGGTTTCCAAGGTTACAGAGATTGCATAGAGTACAAAGTTTATACAAGGCGGGATTGTTTAGCACACCTGCAAGGTTAGGGGGTTTTCTTTCTCTAGGACTTGCAGGCTCAGTGGCCTTGTCCTTAAGATAATGGGGGGGGGGCAGGGAGAAAGTACTCTCCAGTCAGGGAGTTGTCTATATCTATTGGCAGAAGCATTTGTTCTTTCTGGTTTTCCCTTCTTGCCATGAGTCCCAAATCTTTTAGTTATTAATTTTCCCTCACAGCTGCCTCTTCCCTCAAGAGAATACCCGCACTAGATGAAAGAGTCTGCAGTGTGAGTTGTGTAGTTGGGAGGGGTGTTTCTGTGCAGATTTGAGATAACACAGAACTAGACTGGCCCAGGAGATGGTGGTGATTTCTGTAGCTGAACAACAAAAGGCTCTCTACAGCAAGCTGCTGAGGCCTCAGCCCTGGGAGTCAAGCCACTGGAAGGCTCCCATTGCTCACTGGGAGAGACCCTGATTCCCTTCTCATTTTGACCATCCATGTATGTCTTCTCTCTGTGCGTTCGTATAACTGCATCCTTCAGGCTCAACCACACTGCTGTCTTAAGTGACTATTATCTCTGGAGACTGTATTATCTCTTAGCACACAGGAGCTCCACTCGCTTTAGCATCCACCAGGAGTTGGAGATCCTTGGGTTTTATTGTCTCTGTCCTCAGTGAATTTCTCGGGGTGCTGTACCCCATGACAGCTGCTCCTAAGATGTCTCTGTACCTCTTCATACCTTTGAAGCCAACTAACTTGGATGCTTTAAACCATCAATTCATCTAACTGTTGAGAGACTTCCTTTTACTATTCCGGCTCTGTGACCAAAAAGCTCCCAAAATCTTCATAGCATAATATGGAAAATCCTGCGTTTACAGTTCTCTGACTTGTGATGACTCAGAGAGAGCATGCACTTTTCAGGGTGGAGGCAATGGCAAGCATACGAAATGGCAAACCCTGGGACCACGTGAAGGAAAGTGAAATGTCCAGAAGGAAGGAAGGGGAAATACGAGGTCTTACCTCCAACTCAGATGTACAAAAGAAGGAAACACACGATAGGGAACTAAGGACACCTGCCTGCTCTTCTAGCCTGAGGCCAATGGGTTCTGTCTCTGCAGACTTAATGTGTGGAGGAAGGTAGCTGTTAAGGTTCACCCCTGTGTCTACATAGTACTTGCAGTGTATAATTAATTGGGTGATTTTTCTGTTTGTAGGGTTGTGACAAGAAGGCTATGGTGTGGGACATGCGTTCGGGCCAGTGCGTGCAAGCCTTTGAAACTCATGAATCCGATGTCAATAGTGTCCGGTTAGTGAATAAAATGCTTGAGATCCTCTGTCGAGGGACTTTACTGGGGTCTAGGTCACATGCACACATCCACGCACTCGTACATGCATGCATATACATATGCACACACACACAGGTATGCATTCGCGCACACACAGTTAAAAAAAACCACATAATATTTTCATACTATGGTGTGGGGCAGACAGAGCTAAACACTGGGCATTTTTCTCCCAACCTTTCTGTTCTCATCCCCTTCAGTCAGAACTTTGTAAGGTGGTCACACAAATCAAGCTTGCTAAGGCCAGAGTAAGGCTCATTTGATAAACCATTTGAGGATCCAACTTAAATCTTTATCATCCACATTAAAATGTATAGTAGCCCTGAGGAGGCAGGTGTAGGAGAATTCCTGGGATTGAGTGGCCAGCCAACCCAGCCTGAACAGTGAACTCCAGGTCAATGAGAGATCCCAACTTAAAGGAGGTGGACATTTTCCTGAAATTTACACCCAAAGCTGTCCTCTACCTTCTACATGGCACGCACACACAGACACACACACATACACACACCACACACACACACACACCACACACACACACCTACACAAATGCATGCGTTAAAAAAAAAAAAAAAAACTTTCCTATTCATTAGCAATTTTTTTACTATCATCTCCCCGGGATAAACTGTAAGGTAGAGTCCATTTGTAACCAGAAAGAAGATGGGCTGCATCTGAGCATGGGCAAAATGAAGTGATTAAGGACACTTATTCAGGGGATGTAGCTCAGCTGGCAGAGTGATTAACTACTGTAACCAAACCCAGAGTTCTCTCCCTAGCACGGCATAAAACCGGGTGTAGTGGCTCAGTCCTGCACTCAGAACAAAGGAGGTAAAGGCAGGATGATCAGAAGTTCAAGGTCATTCACATAGGGATTTCAAGGTCATTCACATAGAGAGTTCAAGACCAGCCTGGGCTACGTGAGACCCCATACCCTGGCTCGCTCCTGCTCCTGGTTTATAGTCTAGCATCCATACTTCCTACTGAGCAGTGAAGCTGACAGTGGGAATAGCCACCGGTTCATTGATTGCTTTTCATTTGGCCACATGCCGGCTCTTGGGACTCACTGCCCTTTTAGATCTTCACCAGGAAGACAGGCTTCATTACCCTCATTGTCAGATGAGGAAACCTGGCTGGGAAAGTTGATGTCACTGCCCAAAGGACTGCATGCCAACAGCTGGTATGGCTCTGCCCATCTGACTCTGTTGTCCCTGAGCCACACTTGGGGGATTAGGTGCATTGCAGGGATCCTGCTTTGTTCAGTGCCTAGGGTGAGTGTAGGTTAAGACTTTTGGCTTTACGCACGCACACCTCTCCACCTCTCTGCAAGGTAGCACAGCTGTCCTGGGTTTATGGGAGGAACATGAGGCTGGCCTCACGCCTTTGCAAGAGCCCTACTGTGTCCTGGAAGTGGAGCTTGTGGGTCTGAGACCCTGAGCCAGGATGCCTTCCCAGGGGTTCTGAGGCTGGGGATGGCTGCTCCCTAACACGCTTTTTACCAACTCTCTCTGCAGATACTACCCCAGTGGAGATGCCTTTGCTTCCGGGTCAGATGATGCAACGGTATGTTTCTCAGTTATTGAGAGCCCTTCGAGGCAGACGGGAGAGATAATAGCTTGTTTCCCTTCCTTTCTTTCTTCTCTTCTCTTCTCTTCTCTTCTTTCTTTCTTTCTTTTTTTCTTTCTTTCTTTCTTTCTCTCTCTCTCTTTCTTTCTTATTTGCAAAAATAGCAAGGAGTTTTTATTTGAAGTAAAGCAACAGAAGGAACCAGAAAAACACCACAGACTTTTATTTATGTATTTTTATGTTTTGACTTTATGTTTGTCTACACACCACATGCATGCTTGGTGCCCTCGGAGGCCAGAAGAGGGCGCTGGGATGACCAAAGACTGGAGCTACTTATGCGAGCCATCATCTAGATGCTTAAACTCCGATCCTCTGAGTTAGCAGCCAGTGATCTTGATGGCAGAGCCATCTCGCCAGCCCTTCAGCTCTGTGTGTCGTTTGTTTGTTTTTGTTTTCTGAGATAGGGTTTCTCTGTGCAACAGACCAGATGTCCTGGAACTCACTTTGTAGGCCAAGCTGGCCTATAACTCATGGAGATCTGCCTACTTCTGTTTCCCAAGTGCTGGAATTAAAGGTGTGCACCACCCACCACCAAACATTTTATTTTATTTTTTAAAAAACTTATTTTATGGTCATGTGTAGTCCCTGAAACAAACAAACAAACAAACAAACAAATGAAGTTAAATTATTCCCCTTTCCTAAGGAAAGCCACACACAGTTTAATGAATCCTGACTGCCCTGACTGTCTACTTGTGTATTTGTCTTTTTTACATAATGACAGCTTGTGCACATTCTGCTGTGCTTAACAAGCACTTTTCACTTGTGTGTTCTCTCTTAATAATTGCTGGCGTTCCATACTATCGGCATGCCATCATGCACTGACAGTCTTCAGTCTGGAGTGAGCTCTTCTTCCTAAGGGTTTTCTCTGTTAAGAACACTGACCTAAAGCCCAACATGGTGGTACTGTGCTTGTAATCACAGCATGAGGGCAGTGGGAGAAGGAGGAACAGGAGTTCAAGGTCATCCTTAGCTACATATTCACAGCAAGTTCACGGCCAGTGTGGGCTACAAAACAGACTTCTCTGTAAATATTTCCATGTCTCTAACTATCTAAAACTCTCAGGCATTAGTTGCTTACCTAAATACAGATTCACTTATAACAGTTTTGTTTTTAGTGCCAAGTTGACATGTGTTTTTAAGAGAAAACATAATGTCATTTCTTGCTATCCTTAACAAATATCAAATACCCTATTAAATAATAGGCCTTGTTCCCTCTGAGCTGCTTCCAGGGAAGACATTACAAGAGAAGTCATTGAGTTGTGATAATAATGGCAATCTTAGGGCTGAAGAGATGGCTCAGAAGTTAAAAGAGCTTGCTGCCATTCCAGGGGACCCAGGTTCAATTCCCAACACCCATTTCAGTTGGCTCACAACCTCCTGTAACTCCAGTCCTGGGGAATCTGACACCCTCTTCTATCCTCCTCACACACCCATACACATGTTCAACCATACACACACACACACACACACACACACACACACACACACACACAAATGCACACATTTTGGCAATGCCATGGAAATAATTCTATTCTAAGGGTTCTGCTCCTATGCAAATGTAATTTTTACTTCAGACATCAACATGTATATAAAGACTTTTACATAAAAATGTCTGTCACATGGCTATGGACCATTCTATTGTTGCTGCCCAACCCATTGCCCCTTGTAATATATTCAGAAATCAGCTTTCTTCCCACTTTAAAAAAAATGTTCCTCATAGAATTATGTAAAAGAGAAACTTAGTCATAAGAACATTGAGCTAGCTTTGGCCTCACAGATTGAGACACAGCCACATGGAGAATATTGGACAGACATGTAAATCATCATCTTTGAAGGCTAATTTTGGAAAATGCTTACCCCATAATGCTGACAGAGACAGCAATGCAACACATCTATTTCCACATAATCGTAGGGTTTCTATTGCTGTGATGAAACACCATTACCAAAAAGCAAGTTGGAGAGGAAAGGGTTTGTTCGGTTTATACTGCATACTGTTCAGCATTAAAGGAAGGTAGGACAGGAATTCAAACAGGCCAGGAACCTGGAGGCAGGGGCTGACACAGGCCATGGAGGGGCACTGCTTACTGGCTTGCTTCTCATGGCTTGCTCAGCCTGCGTTTTCATAGAACCCAGGAGCACCAGCTCAGGGATGGTCCCACCTACAGTGGGCTGGGCCCTCCTCCATCAATCACTAGTTAAGAAAATGCCCTACAGGCCTGCCTACAACCCAAAGTTTTTCTTCTCCCCAGAGCTGAGGGCCAAACCCAGGGTGTTGCACTTGCTAAGCAAGTGCTCTACCACTAAGCAAATCCCCAAGGCCTACAACCCAGTCTTAGGGAGGCATTTTCTTAATTGAGGTTCTCTCCTCTCAGATGACTTGAGCATGTGTCAAGTTGACATAAAAGTATCCAGAAACAACACACACAAAAAAAGAACATCATGGACATTAGCAAATACCTCTAAGACTTGGGGCCACTTTCAGTTTGTCCTGCATGAATTTGTAAGTATTTCCAAATGTTCTGTGATGACTGTATGTGCTTCATCAGGGAAAAGAAAGTAGTGTTCTATGTTTATCTCTGTACCTGGAGAAAATTTCCATCCTTGCTGTTTCTCTGAGTCTCTATTGACCCATGGAGATTAACAGGAAACAGGGCTGAAGGGTAAAATAACCGGTTTTCTCGCTGGTCCCCAATAGTAGCTCTGTGGTCTGCACTTTGACAAGCTGAAGCCAGAAGTAATTGCACCTTTGTCTGATTCTTTGTACCCCAGTGTCGCCTCTATGACCTGCGGGCAGATAGAGAGGTCGCCATCTACTCCAAGGAGAGTATCATATTTGGAGCATCGAGCGTGGACTTCTCCCTCAGTGGTAACATTTTATTTCAGAAACTTCTCCAGGACTGTAGGGCTACACGGAAAAAACAAACCACCTCCCTGCCTACCTCCTCATCACTGAGCTTTCTGTGGGGTCATATGCTCAGGCCACATCTGACATTCAGATACCCCTCCCTTCACCTCTTCCCCTGGACCTTCCCTTTGTGCTTTCAAGCTCCCTGCTACCCTGCCTACAGCCCAGAGGTTGCTAGCAGAAGCCAAGCCAGGGCTGATGGGACACTCCCCTGTTCTGAGTCTGCACCTTTGCGCACAAACGAAATTGCAGCCACTTTAAGGAGCCCAGCCCTTGAAAGCGTGGATCACCTTGCTTTAATTCTGTAAATCCAAGTTGAAGGGTTAGAAATGGCAGGAGTGTTCCTGCTTCCCCTAGGACCCAATGGAGTACTACACACATATGAGCCTGGCATGGTGGCTCCTACCACATGATGCTACAGTGATATTCCTCTCTGTCCCAGGCCTTCCACAGATGACAGTGACAGCTTTCTCCTGAATTGCAAAGGCAACATAACATACATTGCCTGCCTTACAGTGGGCCTAGATGAGTCTATATTCATTGGTTGGATAGATGGGTGGGTGGGAGGGTGGATGGGTGGGTGGGTGGATGGATGGATAAATTCATAAGTGAGTGAGCAAGTGAACAACAGTCAAGGAAGGAAAAACAGGAACTGGTGTGGCCATTATGTCTTCTGCTCCCAGGTCGCCTGCTCTTTGCTGGGTACAATGACTACACCATCAATGTCTGGGATGTTCTCAAGGGCTCCAGGGTCTCCATCCTGTTTGGACATGAAAACCGTGTCAGCACTCTCCGAGTTTCTCCTGATGGGACAGCATTCTGCTCAGGATCGTGGGATCACACCCTAAGAGTAAGAGAGGTGTCCCTGGTGGCCTTCCTGAAATGGGATGCCAACCAACATTCTCACGTCCAGAACTACAGTTGCCAAGGGGGTGTCTCTGGGAGGTTAGGAGCTTCATTCACACAGGTGTGCAGAGAGTATCGGCATGGTGTTGAAAGAATAATGGAGCTACATAACCCAGATGTTTTGTTTTCCCCTAGTTGTCTGATTATTTGTGATTCTGTCCTCAAGTAAGCCACAGGTTTCCAGTTGCTACTCCCTATACTGAAGGATTCTCCACACCAGCACAGATGCCATGTGTCAGGTCACAGGCCCCAGTGAGACAGTGAAGGCCCCAGGGATGATATATTGATTATGTGACCACTATTGCAGTAAAGGGGCCTTATGGCTTTGATCAGACTTTCAAATCCCCTGGAGTCCCACCATCATAGCAAAAGGCAAAGAGGTGGGCATCTGGTGTTCCTGGAGCATGGGAGTGCTAAGCACATTGCTCATGGCTATGTAAGATCCCAAATCTGACAGAGGCTTCTCTGAGGGTTTAGGGGTCTACTTTGAGATGGGTCTTTGGATAAAGATTTGGCTAGGCTTGGGTGTATTTGGAGCATAATAATTTTAATGCTGCTGGACAGAGGGCAAGGGGAAGATTTTAAAGAAAATCTTAGAGGGGCCAGCAAGATATCTCAGTGGGTAAAGGCACTTGCTGCCAAGCCCAGCAGCTTGAGTTTGATTCCTGGAACCCACATAGTGGTAGGAGAGACCTGATGCCCACAGATTATCCTTAGACATATGCGTGAACACTATAACACACACATACCCAAGTGTACAGACATATACACACTAGATAATAAATGAGTGGAAAATGTTTTAATAAGGTCTTAGAAAGTAAGCAGTCAAAAGGAAGGAAGGAAGGAAGCAAGCATTCCCTCATCTTCTATTTATTGTAATATGAGTAGGTTGAGTGTCTAGTTTTAGGACCAATATATAAAGTTTGTTGTTGTTTTTTTGAAACATTATAAACACAAAGCTGAGTAGTGAGTTGACAATGAAACAACAGTGAGCTGGGAAGATGCAGATGGTTCAGTTCTCAGTGTAAGGGAGTCACCAGTGGCTGCTGAGCAGGTTGCAGGGGCCCTGCTGACAGTGAGCTGAGGGGTAGTGTGAAGCATGCTGAAGTCCTGTTTAGTGGGCTGTGTGAGTTTGTGTGTGAGTGTGTGTGTGTGCATGCCTGTATGAGTATGTGTGTGGGGGGGTGCATAAGTGTGTGAGTGTATGCATGCATAAGTGTGTGTGTGCATAAGTGTGAGTGTGTGCATGCCTGTATGAGTGTGTGTGTGCATAAGTGTGAGTGTGTGTGCATGTGTGCATGCCTGTATGAGTATGTGTGTGGGGGGGGGTGCATAAGTGTGTGAGTGTGTGTGCATGCCTGTATGAGTGTGTGAGTGTGTGTGCATGTCTGTATGAGTGTGTATGTGCATAAGTGTGTGTGCATGTGTGCATGCCTGTATGAGTGTGTGTGCATAAGTGTATTGCATGAGTGTGTGCACATGAGTGTGTGAGAATGTGTGTGTGCATGTGTGTACATGCCTGTGGGAGTGTGTGAATGTGCATGAGTGTGTGTGAGTGTGTGCAAGAGTGTGAGTGTTTTGTGCAAGTGTGTGAGTGTGTATGAGTGTGTGTGTGCAGCTTGATTTCCTCTTTTAAACTCAAGTTTTATGAATTATTAACTACTAAAACTGACCTATCTGTGTCTTCTCAGGTTTGGGCATAATCCTCTCACGGTGTACCGGAAGAATGTGTCCTCCCCTGTAGATGTGACTTCTAGAGGAGCCCAGGACTTTCCATGGGTTAGCTTATGGGAGCAACTTCACAGCTCAGCACTCACTCAGCCCTCCGGCGTCACCGTGAAAACCATCCCTCCCTGGCAATGTACTCATTTAGGCCTTGGCGCTTCAACTGTACCTTCAAGTCCTCATGCCATTCACCTCCAACACTCTGTAAAAAAAAATGTGTTTTTGAAGTTATTCCAGCCAATAGAATTCCACATTTATAAGCATTTTAAATGTCCCTCATTGCTTCCTTGAATTTGTCAGTCTGCCTTGGTGTGGACTGTGGCTTCTAGAACCTTCCTCTGGACTGTGAGAATGACTGTTCACTGGTCTGTCATAGAAGAAAATTCCAGTTCCCAATGTGACTACACAGATTTTTAAAACTGTTTTTATGTAAAAGTATCTTTTTTTTCAACCTGTTCATTTGTATTTTTTTTTTTAGATGAAATGTTTTTGTCTGGGAAAGCCTTTAGACAATAAGCAGACACTTGCAGAAAACAAGCTTGTGATGCTGTGGCCTAGGGCGGGACATTCCCTCACACTTGAGGGGAAACTGGTCGCCATTTATAGCACAAATGGTGCTAAGAGCAAACAGAACCTTCTGGTGTGGGAAGACAAGACACTCAGCAGGTTTAAAAGCCTGCTAGTAGTTTTATCAGAAATGCCTAAGTTAAAGTGGGTATTGCCCAAGTAAATAATATTCTGGTGTCCTGCACAGCAGGGCTCACACGACTGATGGGCAGGTCATGAATAATAATGTCTTTGTTATCAAAGGGGTATCCTGTCTTTATTTGAATCAGCAATTCCTTCTAGATGCTACTGGCTGCTTCTTATTACAAGGTCCCTGTTTTCTCTTCCTTTTTTCTTTTAAAGATGTAGAGGTTTGTTCTTTTAGAAAAACCTTATTTAGTAAAATGTCATGTTATTAGTGGTGGCACACGCTTGCAAGTTCAGGTATTCAGGTATTTGGTGGGAGGGATGGGGGGGTACAGGAGGGTAGGAGGATGGCTTTAGTCCAAGAGCTCAAGACTAGCCTCAGCCACATGGTGAGACCTCATCTTTTCATTGTATGTGTGTTGTTTTGCTCTATTTTGCTTTTTATATTTATTTATCCATTATTCTATGCATTTATTTATTCTGTGTGTATGCAGGTGAATGAATACACATGCCACAGAGCACGTGTGGAGGTCAGAGTACAACCAGTAAGAAACTGTTTGCTCCTTCCACCATATGGTGCCTGGGGCTCGAACTCAGATCCTCAGGCTTGGTAACAACACCCTCACCTGCTGAACAATCTCACTGCTCCTTGTTTTGTTTTTCATGAAACAAGGTATCTTAGTTACTATTGCTGTGAGGAGACACCATGACCACAGCAACCCTTGTAAAGAAAATATTTAATTGAGGGGCTCACTTAGAGTTCAGAAGTTCAGTCCATTATGGCGAAGAGCATGTTAGTATGCAGACAGGAAGGCAGGTATGGTGCTGGAGAAATAGCTGAGTGTCCTACATCTTGCAGGCAACAGGAAGTCAACTGACTGTCAACGCTGAGGGAAGCTTGAGAAAAAGACCTCAAAACCCTCCCCAAGTGTGACTCTCTTCCAACAGAAGGTGTGGCCCAGATTAAAGGCGTGCCCTTCAGCCTCAAGGTCTGAACTAAAAATGTGCATCAACCAACAAGGCCACACCTCCTAACAGTGCCATTCCCTATGAGCTTATGGAGGCCAGATACATTCAAACTGCCACACAGGCTCTCCTGTATCCCAGGCTGCCCTCAAACTCGCTACATTGCCCAGTAGGATTGTAAACTTCTGGGCCCTCTGCTGTTGCCTCTCAGGTGCTGGAACACTGGGTTTACCAGCATGCACCACACACTGGCTGCACTAAAATTATAGGCACACTGCTGGGACCAAACCTATCCAGCATGATTCCGAAGCAACTACGCTACAGCCCCAGCCTCAAGATCCCATCTTTAAAAAGATTTTTTTTTTTTTTTTTTTTTAAAGAGTACTGGGAATCAGAGGTCACCTGGCACACTGGTAATCATTCCTGGGTAAAACTGGTTCGGCATCTGACCAGCCAAAGATTTGCTGTCCCTGAGGAGCAGGGGGTGTATATCCACAGACTGCCTGGTGCCCTCCCTGTCTTACCCTCCTCCGCCAGGCTCTTTGCTTAGTGTTGGCTTTGCCTTTGTAAGCCCCAGACCCCCTGCTCCTCAGAGAGAACCTCAGAGTGCAAACGAGGACAATCTTCTAGCCACCAGGGTGCTACTGTCACTTCAGCGGTTGTCTCTTTGGAACTGTGAGAAACGCCACATATATTTTTGGTGTGGTGTTAGTATTATTTAAATGTCCCTTAGGAGCCCTGAAAAAGTCTCCAGGGACACAGGATGGATCTGGGTTATACTTTGACACTCTAGGGAGCTCTGTTTGCTCCTCAGGGAGTCTGCCCTGGATTAAAGCAGGCCTCTAGGAGAATGTGGGCAGGGACCAGGTCAACTGGGCACAGGTGACCTCTGGGAAAGGACCTCAGAGGAAACTTGGGGTAACATCAGCATCACAGGAAGTCAAAAGGGAGCCCCAAGAAGACCTGTAACCTACTAGAGCAGTGGTTCTCAACCTGTGACACCCCCCACCTTGGGAATCACTATCAGATATCCTGAATTTCAGGTATTTATGAGTCATAGCAGTAGCAAAATTAGTTATGAAGTAGCAACAAAATAAATTTTATTGTTGGGAGTCACCACAACATGAGAGCCACAGCATCAGGAGTGTTGAGAACCGCTGCACTAGAGATGTGTTCAAAGGAGGGCAGCGAGGGTTCTAGGGAATGTATCTGGTAGATCAGAGGTGGGCAAGAGTCAGGGGCTGGGCCTCATTGCCTCCTCCAGCCTAGAACAGCCACTTTGCAAAACAATGTATATATCCTCATTTTCCAGTCAATACCAAGTTAAGACACAGACTCTAGCTGGGCTTAATTGCTGGCACAAGCTGTAATCCCAGTGATTCAGAAGGCCGAGGCAGGAGAATGACAGGTCGAGGACCTACCAACCCCTAGAAAGTTCCAGGCCCCAGCTGTTTCTTAACCCACCATCACGGCCTCTCTCCTTGCAACAGGTGCAAGTGAGATTCCCAAACTTCTTAGGGGTGGAGACAGTAAGTAACTGGGTCTAGAAAGCCGGGTGGGGTTAGGCCGGGTGCAGAGGCTGAAGGATGGACGACGACCGGCTGCTGGAACGCACTAGATGCCTGCTGACTGATTACTTGATGTTCTGCAGGCGGGAGCCAGGTGACCCCGAGCCACCGCCCACATCGGTCGAGGCGGCCTTGCTGCGCTCTGTGGCAGAGCAGGTCCAACAGAGGTACCACTTTTTCTTCTCCTCCTTCCTCGGCTACCAGGGCAACCGCGTGGAGTTGATGACACAGATGGCAGACACCATTCTCTCCGATGGACAAAGCTTCAGCTGGGGCCGCCTGGTGTTGCTCTTGGCCTTTGCGGGGACAATTCTGAGTCAACGCCAGAGAAATAGTGAGAAGGATAAAATCCAAGTGGACCGAGACTGCCAACTCATAGTAGGCTTGCTGTGCAATCGTCTCCTCGGACAACATGGCTCCTGGCTGAAGGCTCACGATGGCTGGGTGAGAGCATGAGCTTGGGAGTGGTGGGGTGTGTGTGTGTGTGTGTGTGTGTGTGTGTGTGTGTGTTGGGGGTGGTGTGGGGGGAAGGGGGTTGCTGTGCTGAGCTCTTTTCAGAGACCGTGAGTGCTTCAGCTGTACCGTGCAGTCTGATTTTGATTTCTTTCTCTACTGTTCTTTCCCTTAAAGTCAGGCACTCATGTAGCCCAAGCTGGGCTCGTAACTTAGCCTCCTGACACTGTGGTCTTCCTGCTTCCATCCCAGGGCGCTATGGTTACTGACTCTGTCACTGTGATGGCTTCGTGTGCTGCTGGATGTGGACCCCCAGGGTTTTGAGCATGCCAGGCAAGCACTCTACTCACTGAGCCTGGTTCCCAGCCCAAGGATTTCTTTGTAGGCACTCAGACTGCCCTTGCTCAACAGTTCTCATGGAACTTCATTCAGGGGTGGCTTACCCTCACCCTACCCTGGGGACTTTCAGGGAGGGCTTATGAGGTCTGATATTCCCTGTAGGGGAAAGGGAATTGTGGTGACACCCAGGCTCTCGGGAGCTTCCTCTCGTTCTCTAACTCTTTAGGAGACTAAAGCCCTAGGGGTTGTGAAATGTGTGTGACCACCAAGTGGGGCCCCTGAGTGGGAGCTTTCCTTCTTGGCCACTGCACTTTCCCCTGCTGGGCAGGGCTTTCTCTTGGTCCTTAATCTCTGTTGTGTAAGCTAAAGAGACGGCTACACAGAGCTACTGCTCAAGGAAAACACCCAGGATGGGACTAAAGCTTCAGAGTAGACTGTTAGCATCTGTGAGGCCCTAGGTTCAATCCCCAGCACCACTGGGAAAACAAGCAAACAAACCTCTACCCTACTTTAGCCCACAAGCTCAGCTTGGCCTCAGGTGTCTTTACTTCGTCCTCATTAGGGTTGAATCAAAACTGAAGGGACCAAAGGTATGGGATAAATGCGTTAATCATTAAAACCTGCTATACAAAAACAAAAACGATCCTGTTAGCGGTCTGTATTTAAAGCACCTGAGAAAGAAAGGCCGCCTGACGCGTCAGCAGTAACGCCTGCCCTACTCCTGATGTATGGCTCTCCACTGGGCCCGAGGGCTGACTTCAGCTGAGTTTTTGAGAACCCTTTCTGAGCTCTCTGAAGAGATGGAGACATTGATGTCTCTCCCTGCCCCCTCTCTCTCCTCTTCCCCCTTTCCCTCCTCACCCCGCTCCTCTCTCTCCCTCGTGAGCTCTCAGACTTGGGAAGGGTTCAAGAGGAATGTCAAGGCAGATTTTCTTTTGGGGAAGAGACTCATTAGCAAAATTACCAATCCCATGGAAGGACAGCATGGCAGAGGCCCTGCGTAGAGTTTAGGTCTATGAAACAAACTTGGAGACCCCTCTTAATGAGCTTCAGAGGAAGGAGGAGGTCCCAGGCTACATAGTGGTGAATATATGCCGGTTGTCACTCTTCCAGAGAAGCAGGGGAAGGTTTGGCTCCTTTTATTTAATGTGTTCAGCCTAGGGCCTCAGGTAGCTTGGGGTTGGTAAACTCCCTTGGGGAAGAGAGGCTTACAAATTTGCAGGCTGGCTTTCTATGAGGCACCTGCTATTTCTTTAAGCTGTGAAGGTAGAGAAAGAAGTTGCTACAAATGAACATGGCTTGAATACACTCTAGTCCAAATATAACCTTCCCAGCTTCTTTGTCTTGGAGTAACAGGCACTGAGTTCAAGCTCTGGTTGGGGCGGTGTGGAGTCAGCATGTCTCCATCTCGGGGTATCTGAGTCAGAGGCTGATGCTGGTATTGGCACAATGGAGGGATGTTGTCCCCATGAGCCTGTGTGACATGCCACACACACACACACAGCAGTGTGGATGAGTTGAGATGGGCAGTGCTGAAGAGGGGGACTGTGGATGTGAGGATCAAGATAGCTATCAAAGGGGTAACCACAGATGTGACCCATGAAACCCTGATGTTTTGAAACGGTTTAGAATTTGATTTGTAGGGGGATGGTCAAGGGTGAATACAAGACAGACAGGTGCTGTCAAAAGGGAATGCCCAAGTGTTGTGGGGAAGGTATCGGAGAGGAAGGGGGTTTAACCGTTCTCCTAGATGCCTTTCATCACCGTTGAGGTAAAGTATGAGGTGCTATGAGGCATCTCTGCCATATGGGACAGTTAGATGGTTGCTTTTACTCAAGTTGAACTGCTGTGAACAAATCATATGAGATGTCTGGAAGCCACATGCCTTTCACTTCATGGCATGATCTAAGAACCTCCCATGTATTTTGGAGTGTTTTTCATACTGGACATTGGCGTGCTCCTCACATGTTTGACCTCCAAGGTCTACGCTAGCCCTTCCTGTGAATTTTTATTTAGATATTTTTATTGTGTGTGGATGAGTTCCTGAATATGTTGTGTGGCATGTACATGCAGTGCTCATGGAGGCCAGAAGAGGGCACCAGATCCCCTTGGACCTGGAATCACAAGCCTTGTGAGCCATCCTGTGAGTGCTGGGAACTGAACACAAGTCAGACAGGATGCTCTCAACCCGTGAGCCACCTCTAAGCCCCGCCTTCTGTGTTTGTTCGTGAGGGGGCAGTCTAATGCTCCTTTTGTGCCCCTTGCAGGATGGTTTTTGCAGCTTCTTTGTGAGTCCCTTACCACTCAATTTTTGGAGGAGACTGCTGATCAAGACTTTTCTGTCCTGCTTCATTGCAATGGCTGTCCTGATGATCTGGAAAAGATTCTAAGTTTTAAAATTTTTACGATTTTACTTGCCTAACTGTGACCCACTAAGGGACGATTTTAGATGACTGATTACGAGCTGAGGAAATCTGCCTAGAGACATTTTTACCTGCATGTTACAATGAGTCCTGGGGTTGTGATGGGGCCAGCATTTGGAAGGGGCCCTAGTGGCTCTTCACAGAGTGGGGAAATGGTCTTATGTGTACATCACTCCGAAGAACTTCAGAAGAAACTTTGTCTTCTCGTGAGATGTACTGCTGCTGCATTTGGCTATCTGGGGTTCTTGAGTTGCTGTTCAGTAGCCAGTGTTCCAGGCCAGAGGATCAATCTTAAAGCACCAAAATCCCAGAGCACCGAGGAATGCAATAGGAAACCAAACCTAAGGACTCCTTGGAAACCTAAGTCTTTCTGGTCCTAATTCCCAGGTCCCAGGATGTCTGAATTTATAGTGTGCCCCTCTAATAAAGTTTTAAGTAACCTCAAAATTTTAATAAATGTATATACAGTTTTCAGAAAAAAAGACTGGATTTTTCTCTAATTCAGCAAGACTTTTGTTCTTGGGAATGGCTTATATTGATAATTTTCCTTTTATTGTCTCCTTCACTATATACCAGGGTATGGTTTATATTGCTGTGGGGGAGGGGTTAATTTTTATTTTTATAATGTATATTCATGTTATGCGTATGAGTGTCTTCGTACCCCATATGTGTCTGGTATGTTTGAGGCCAGAAGAGGGTGTCAGATCCCTGGAACAGGCGTTACAGACAGTTATAAGCATCGTGTGGTTACCGGGAATCAAACATGGGTCCTCTGGAAGAGCAGCCAGTGCTCTCTCTCCAGCCTTATTGACGATTTGTTTTAAACATGTAATCTACATGAAAGTCCTTAAATCATTCTCTTTCCCCTTCTATTCTCCTGCCTGTCAGTCTGCTTGAAACCTGTAGGGTGGTAGGCAATGTGCCGTCCTAGTCTCACTGGCCATTATTAACCTGTATTTCATAATACTGAGTCTGCTTGTGTGTGTGTGTGTGTGTGTGTGTGTGTGTGTGTGTGTGTGTGTTGTACCACAGTATAAATTGAGGTCAGAAGACAACTTACTAGAAGGAGTTGATTCTCCCCTTTTACCATGTAGTTTCCCGGGTTCGAACTTGGGTCATCGGGCTTGGTGGCAGTCATCTTTATCTGCTCAGCTAGATCTCTGGCCTTCTTTCCCTCTTCCTACTGTGAGATGTCTAGAGAAACTCCAATTTTGGAGTCTCTGGAGAAGGGAAATCATGGCCCATGTAGCAGAAATGGGGTTCTCTTTTGATACCTTTCTGTTACAGTTACAGGCCTACAGCTAAACCAATTCTCAGGCAATAGGCAGAGAAGGGGGTGATGAGCAGGGTGTGGCACCAATAGCCCCTTCATTGTGTCCTTCCATTCCCCAGGTGAGTGTTAACCAGAGATTGACAGTGTCTCGGTAGGTGCCTGTCTGTCTGTCTGTAACTGAGAGGGGAGGGACTGCTTCCTAACATCACACACTGACAGTTCTGTTCTTTGCATCTGTACTGAGATAAGATTCACACAACACAAAGTTCTTTTCAGCATTTTAAAGCATGCACTTGAGTGACTTTTAGTGTGTTTGCAGTATCGTACACCATCACCCTTTTAATTCCATCACTTAAACAGAAACCCCACACCATTAACACTCTTCTGATCCTCTCCTCCCCAACACCAGCAACCACTAATCTACCTTCTGCCTCTGGATCTGCCTCTTCTGGACACTGCCTATCAATGGAACCAGACAGCTCATGTCTTTTTGTGTCTGATTTCTTATTCAGCCAAGGGTTTTCTAGGTTTCCACACGATGTGGCATGTCAGGACTTCACTCCTGTGCAAGGCTAATGCTGCATGGTGTTTACCACACACAGCTAGCAGGAATGTGGGTGGCTCTCACTGGCTAGTGTGAATGAAGTGCTCCGGGCGTGCTTTTATGGGTTTTTATGTGGACTTACGCTTTCAGCACTCTTGGTTGCAAGCCTAGGGATTGCTGCACCCTGTGGTAACTGCAGGCTTGGCATGTGTGCTACAGCTCGACTGAAGTGTTCTTAGCAGATGCGCAACTCAGCATTCCTACCAGAAAGACATGGGGTTCCAGCTCCTTCCACGGTGAAACCTTAGGGTAGCAAAGGGAAAACATGGAGAACTATCTGGACAAGAACTGAGGGAACACAACTTGTGTGCTTAAAATACAGATAACAGATGGCTTCTTTCTCCTTGGCTTCCTAGATACCATGTAGCCACGTGCCCTGAGTTGGTGGTAACAGTTACAAAGTAGAGTCATCTTCTAGATAAGGCCAGGGGTCTGTGTTGTGTCTTCAGCCCTTCTCTGCAGCCAAGCAGGCCTTCTCTGAAGCCATTGCTTGGCACTTCCTGCCCTGAGTCCTTCATGCCTGGCCTTGTGCCAGGCAGCTGTTACAGGCTCTCCTCCAATGGCTAACATTGGTTTGTGAGGTTTTTAAAATTTTCTTTTTAAATTTATGTCCATATGTCTGTATCTGTGTGCACACATTTGTATGGGTGTCCATGGGGATGAAAAGAGGGGTTTGGATCGCCTGGACCAGGAGTTGTAGGCAGTTGTGAGCTGCCAGAACCAAACCCCCGTCCTCTGCAAGAGCAACAAGCATGCTTACCAGCCAAGAGGTCTCCCAGCCCCGTTTCCTTCCTTTTAAAGTTACTTCTTATTGTGTATGTTAACGGGGGCAGAGCTGAATACCACAGCACCTTATGTGTAGGTCAGAGGGCAACTTTGTGGAGCTGTTTTTCTTCTACCTTCCTTTATGTAGGTTCCAGTGGTCAGACTTGCCCGTACCTGTACCCACTGAGCCGTCCCTCCGGTCCCAGTCTGTATTTTGTAGCTAGGCCTCTCTTAAGAGTTGAATTCAGTAGAATCGAAAATGCAAATGAGGAGCCGGGGGGGGGGGGGGGGATGGCTTAATGGATAAAAGTGCTTGGTGTCAAGCCTGGTTCTGACCTAAGTTCAGGTCCCCAGAACTCACAAAAGCCAAATGTGGCCCTGTGTGCCTGTAATTCCCACACTCCTACTCCAGTATAGATAGGATGCAGAGACAGAATTCCCCAGAAGCTAACAGGCCTATTAGCCTGGAGTTCGAATTTACAGAACAAGAGACCTTGCTTCAAACAAGGTAGAAGGAGAATTCTGGTGCCTGAGGTTGTCCTCTGACTTCCACCTGTGTGCCATCAAATGCACAAGTACACACCACACACACCACGTACACCACGTACACCACACACACCATACACGCGCGTGTGCGCACACACCATACACACCATACACACACACCATACGCACGCACCAGTATTTTTAAGTAAATAATCATAATAAAGAAACGAAGCCAGGTATCACAGAGATGTAGCTCAGCTGGTAAACTGCCTGCCCAGGATACACAAGGCTCGAGGTTCAGTTCCCAGCACTTCATGCATGAACAGGTATGGTGGTATATTGTGGTTTAATAAGGATCAGGAAAAACAGGCTGAATAGATGTCTCTATTGTAAGTTATTTCTCTCTGAATAAACATGAACACCAGCAGGTCAGGTTCCTAGTCCCAGGGATGCCTCTGGATGTTCTTCTCTTCCTGTGCTACAAGCAAGAGAGCGCTCTGGGGCCCCTTTCCCAGACCTAGTTCCCCCAGATCATGTCCACCCCTGTCTCCACCCCCAATGGGCATGGTTAGTGCCACAGGTGTGGACACTCAGTGGTACTTGCCTGTAACCACAGAAAGCTGAGGCAGGAGGATCAGCAATTCAAGGTCATCCTAAGCTGCTACATCAGGAGTTTCAGGCCAGCCTAGGACACATGAAACCCTGACTTAAAAGCTAGTGATACTATTTTAGCAAGGCAGGAGCTGGAGCTGGAAGTGGAATCGTGGCACACATCTGTATTTATCTCAGCATTCCAGAGGCTGAGGCAGCCTGGGCTACACCGGAGTTAAAAACTGCCTGGGATATATAGGTAGCCTACGTCTCAGAACCACAAATGGATGGATGATCCAATAAAGAGGTAAATTTAAAAATATTTCCTTAGGCCCCGGATAGACTCGGCAGACTACACATTAGAATCTTGGGAAGTGTTTCTAAACTCTGGGTGCCTCTGTCTGAATCTCGGTGATTCATTGGCTCACGGGGGACATGGCATGGAGAGGCTCTCGAAGTTCCCCATGTGGCTCTAATATGAAGGAAGGGCTATACCCCTGGGGTTTTGAACAACTTTACTAACCGAATAACTGACAGTTAACCTGTATTGATAAACCCTCTTCTGTTTGAGCCCAACTAGTTTCCATGACCCCAGCAAGATTTCAATCACATTTTAAGAACTTTTAAAAAAAAATCCTTTGTAACTTAACTGAATGTAACAGTTCAATATGTTCTGTTACAAGAAATGGCAGGATCTAGTCTCCTCTTGACAGCCAGTCCCACAGGAAACTTCCTGTTCTTCCCATGGGTTATTTTACTTCCTGCCTCAATCTTTATTTTTGTTTTATTGCTTTGTTTTGAGATGGGTTTTTATGTTACCCAGAGTGGCCTTGAACTTGATATGTTGCGAAAGATGACTTTGCCTGCCTTTGAGCTTCCACCTCCCAAGTGCTAACCTGGTTTTGCAGATGTCCATCACCCCGCTCCTATATCCTTAAGTAGGAGGCCGTTCTTGATTTCCAGTTTGAGACATTGTCTTTATCTTTACACTCCCAACCCATCTCTTGCCATCCCCAGCCCCACCCAATGTAATTTTATCATAATTTTACTTCAATCACTGTCCATTATCCATACTGCAAGTCCTCCTGCTATTCTGAACTGAACCATGTAATCAGCTAAGATTATTTCTTTCTCACACTTTATTTCCTTGAGTTAATAATTGCCTCAGTCTATTATACTTGATTAGTTCTGGACTAGTTTTATATGAGTTATAATGTTCTCTAATGTTGTGGAAATCTCTTCTGGAGA